TATTAAAACGATCTTGGAGCCTCGCCACGTCGTTATTGTATGATTAACCTCGTATGTTCGTACTTTGTCTGACAACTGCGAATCTTGACAGTAGCCCTGTAGCATACTTTCCATTGCAGAAAGCTATATCTCAAGGCGGTTATGTATAAATCACACCACTACACCAAGTCTGCTTCACATTAGTCATCTAGTGCTTTAGAACAACTGTTTTCCAGCGCCCGTTTCAATAGTCTGATCATACAGAAATCTATATGCGCTGAATCAAGCGACTTGGCAGGTATGTCTTTGAATGGAATAGCACGAATACCCGTTGCATTTTCTCACTGTTTGAGGTATGTGAAAGTTAAGCAAGTATAATAATGGAAGCAGCTTGTGTACACATAACTTGTGTCGCCTTTGCAGACGGAAATTCTTAATTGTGTTGCGATCTCCTTGATTATGTTGCGTACTTTGCCTGGGACACTGAACAGCTTTTGTCTCTGATCTATGGGATCATGGATTCTCACCTGTTGCAAGAAACCGCACTTTACTTTCAACGGCTGGTGTACGGTTTGTTACAGGTCCTTACTGAATGATCCTGGTCTCCCAAGTTGATCCATATTCCTTTGTTTTCCAATGTCATTAAGTACATGGGCTATTACAGTCTTGGAAAAATTCTATGTCCCCGATCTGAACAAACTTTTATGATCTGAGAATATTCATATTTTGTATCGGAAAGGGCTGTTTCATTCCCTTCACAAAAGCGTTCAATTCTCAGTGACATCACACTATGTGCAAAACATAGTTCTGTTAAATGCCGTTCCACTGTGACTTTATATCAGCTGTGATTTTCTTGTGACTTTCTGATTTGCATATTCTAAATTGTTTTAACATAACACCCTCAACCATTTGTACACTATCTTTTAACTGAAATGACCTCTTGTAACATTCTAGTCATTTCAAGATATCGACTTCACTTAAACACAAAGACAGATCAATGATGGATTAATATGGAATAGCGTTCAAACGAATCTCACTAACGAAGGCTTAATGACTCATGTGTAAACCGACTTAAAGAACAAAAAAATGTCAGTTTATGAACAAAAATCATCAACAAGATCAGGATATGATAAACAGTGGTTACGATCGAACAGCTATAAGTAATATAAAAGCTACCTACTTGTAATATATATACGTTGTTTCCTGAAAAGATCTTTGAAATCGACATTTGTAGCTGGACGTGAGGTATAAATCGTATGTATGGTTATTTTCACAGCGAGGTGTACACAGCATTAGGTCTAAGGACGTCTATCCATTTGCTCAGCAAGACAGTATCCAGTGTCTCCCAACACACAATAATGCACAACTAGAGGGTGTTCTACCTTACTGGAAGATATAGATGACAGTAACATCACAAGCCTACCACCGCGTGATTTTTTTTTCTCCAGCATGTCTCAATATATTGGTTGTCCAGTGTTTCTCTTAGGACGCGCAGTTCTTGTGTCCTTGAATAGAATAGCTATCACTTAATAACTGTATCGTATGATGCGATGGTATTTTCGGAGATAGTGTTGCACAAAGCCAGATCGGATTCTACTTAAAGTACGTTAGTTTGTGTTTTACTGTTGAACAGTCACTATTTTGATACTGTTGACCAGTAATTGGCAGAGGACATTGAAAGGGTAGGGGTTCACAGGGGTTCATTGACAAAAAGGACACTTTCCAGGCATCGTAAGGCAAGCGTGTTTTTTTAGGGGTGGGCGGGTGGAGGGAGTGTTAAAGGAGAGTATGGGGACTGTGGGCTTCCCTTGTTACACATAGAGTAAAAACCATAAAAGCAACCAGCTTCTCTTTTATTCCTATTCAGTTGGTCTTACAAAAGTTAACAGTAACTTATCGTGTGTTAACACTTAATAGCATATTAAAATTATTTTTTTTACTATAAATACCTACAAGTCCTTGTGTGCCACTCATTTTAACGGTGAAATATTTTTGTTTTTCCTAATCACTCCCAGCAAGCAAGGTATGGAACCAGATGTATCTTTTCGTAGTCGTTGGCAATTTTTATGGCAGAGAAAAAAAAGGTCACTTTGGGGCATAAAGGCAGGAAAGCAGGGTCTTGAGTTCACCCAGGGTCCCCCCCCCCTTCACACGTCATTGCTGTTTAAAATATCACAAATCTCAGTTTAGGCTACAAACTAAACTTCTTGCCTAGCCGATGTATAACAAATAAAATTTCCTCCACAAATGGCTTGGCGTGACCCTAGTGATCAAAGTGCTCCAACTGTAAGTCCAAAGATTTATGGTTAATAACTCTCTGCCACAAAAACGTACTCTGTGCTTTGGAGCGATGAGTTCATTAAAAGACTAATGGGCAAATCCCACTATTCTACAGACAAGAGTTGGTGATGGGTTCTGTTGACCAGCTGTCAAATCAAAATTCTGACCAGTTATCCACAGGTGGCCCTTTGTGTAGCTTCTCGCGAAATTCTGAAACAAGCAAACAGCCCTCCTTTTAAAAATATATAAATTCATTAAGGCTCGTATTTCCCTAGAATTTGTTGTAGCATCTAATCTAATACTTTGGTGGCACAGAACAAAATGAACGCCTCCTTTCAGCCAACTTGGATATAAGAACAGGTGTATATGGTTAATTGTACTTCTTTGAGAACATGTAATAATAGGTGGAACGTTGGTTCTGCTGAAATAAACTCAGAAATCTGAGGTTTGATGTTTGTAATGTTAATTACAATTGTAATTTTTGTAATGTTTGTAATGTAATTACAATTGTAATGTTAAGCGATCATTCTGAAGATATAAAAGTGTATCTATAGTTAAAGTAGTAATAGATTGCGAAAACTTTAAAACAAGTAGTTACACGCATGCGTGAAATGAGCAAGTGACGTGTCGAGAAGAAAGAGGACACCAGATGTTGGGATAAACATCCGCCTTTAAAACCTTTAACTCCCTTGTGGAGGGGACTCAGTCATCGAATGGGATACTCTCCTCAAAATTTCCGGTCAAAAAGTGTGCTTTGCTGAATATTCCTAGTTCTATGGAAGTTTACCACTGAAGCAACACACTGACACATGTACTTAAAAATTGTTAGTAAGCCAAACTAACCAGAAGCCATCCCTGTAGATTTTCCCAACTTCGTGACCTCGGAAATTGATTTTAATTTTGTACAGCGTCACGAGTTTAAATATTCGAATTAAATTAGCTAAAAATAAACCTAAAGAAAATTTATAACGAGGTCTAACGCTGTAAGTAAAGTAAATAGCATATGTCATTACTTCTAATTAATATTAACTAAAACCCTTTAAGAGTGCAATCTCATAATAAAAGAAAATTAGTACTGATGACAGGGATTCAGTCTTTGCAGCTAATTGAAAATATTGTAGTAATGAATGAAATGTCGACCTCTTACGTCAAAAAACAGTTAATGATGGACGGATGGTTTCTGGATAGAAAGATAAATAGATAGACAGACACAAATTACAATACTCCTTTTTAGTCAAAATTCTGTCCTTTTATGTAATTCAAACATTTGATTAAATATATTAAACTGAGTGAACGTTCTAAGTGAATGCTATGCTAAACCAATAAAGCAAAATGTTGTCACAACATACTCGAGTTTAATAATGCCTTAGAAGGAACTTATTAGGGGTTTCGGCCTCTTATATTCCACCAATTATATACATTGAATAAAACTTCGATAACCTATCTCTTTGTTTCTTTTTTAACTTGAACCGTAAAAGTAAAGTTTTGCTTCATCGTTTCCGTCCACAAATACACGATGGGACACTAAATTATCGCTCTCATTTTCTTTTCATTTCAAAGTTAATGAAGGCATATGATATATGATCTTTCAAAACAGCTAATAAATCGTAGAAATACAGACGTATATATATATAAACAGCAGTGCAAATTAACTTAAAAATCTGTTGACATGTGCCTTACAAAGTAAAACAATAATTAAACAAACGTAGATTGTATTTATATATTCTCACCTTGTGGAAAGAAAAGGTCATAACGTCAGTCAAAAATTTTAAGGGATTCCAGAAATTATCGCTATTTCACTACACACACACACATAGAGAAAAAAATTGCAAGCTGAATGTCTAATGAAAAAAGAAAGTCAAGAAATATCTATGGTATTTGCAGTGAAGGGGGAATATAGGGCGTTGTTTACTAAAATTGTATTCTTTAGGCTCGGGTGTGGAAATGTATATTAATCTGAGTTTTCTAAAATAACTGCTTGACTAAAATTATTCGCGTTTTATCGTTTGTCAGTAACTAACAAAGATGGCACTGCCCAACCCTTGTTACATTCTATAGGATAATAAATATCGAATATTCCTAGTATAATTATAGTGGCTGTTCAAGCCCCAAATTCTTACTTCCCAATCTACGGTGTGTGTAATAGCTTTAAAAAAGCACTAAACTACAAAATATCTATAGAGTAAAATGCTGTATGGAGCGGTATATATATTTGGCATAACTCAAAGATATTATTTTTCATCTCACAATCATGAATTTCCTTTACAGGATCTTTTATATGTTCATATTACAATATCTGGTGTTCTTCCTTTCCCGTTTCTATAATATGTATTTAAATGTGTAATACTCCATAAATAACGTTTACAATATGTATGTGGTTTTCACTGATACTTCTGGAGTATGGTAGTCATTAATAATCTTCTTGTTGCTTTCTATCACGCAATGGCCACACTAACACAAGCTCTGCAGAACAAAGCTACATAATTAGTCAAACCTCTTTTGTTCTTGACTATATTGAAATATACGGTATAAGATATTTGACAGACTTCCTTGCTATGGAAACTAACCGCTGCTTTTAATCCAACCAGAAAGTCTGATTGTTCAGTATCTGCTAGTTTCCGTTTTTCTTTTCTTTCGGAAATTGGCTGTTTTAGTCAAATGAATGCTAAATCTTACATACGCACTGTCACATGATACACTTTATTATTACTACTAAACGACAATTTTAGCTGAAAGCTTACCTGTATTGACTTGGTAATACGCTAGGAATACTCGCCCTTACAGGTAGAGGAAAACCTGGAATATGAAGTAAAGGAAAACCAATTATATATAGTTTTTTTTGTTATTTAAAAAAAAAATATGTTAAAACAAAAAATAATATGAACATTACTGTACGTATAATATTTCCACAGCTTGACAAACATACTTCAAGTTATATCATTTGTTAGTAATTGACATAGATAACATTGCCCAACTCATGTTATAGGATATTAAATGTAGAAAATTCATGGTGTATTTATAGTGGCTCTTCAAGCGCACCGTAGATTTGAGAAAGAATGTGTTTGTAATGACTAGAAAGACCACTAAACTGCACAAAAGTCTGCACAGTAACACGCTGTCTGGAGTGGTATATGTTTGGCATATTTCAAAGTATTTATTTTTCACTTCACAATCATGATTCTCCTTTTGCATAATCTTCTATATGCTCATGTTACACTACATGCTGCTCATTTATAACATTTGTTTTTCATTCTCCGAAATCACATAAGCTGAATTCTCAGTTTAAGAAAGACGCAGTATTATTCAGTAATACGTCATGATTTTACGTTAAAAATTTGTTTGACTGACTATTAATCTATTTTGTGTTGTTCTGTAATAAACATATTATTGTTGATAATCTTAGTGATCATGTACAGAAAGTTTGGTTAGTGGCTTCATAACAATACCGTTAAAAATAAAATTAGTGGAATTTCAGCAATTCAGTATGTGGAGTGTGCAGCTACAACTAATACAGGTTCAGCAATTCAGGATGTGGAGTGTGCAGCGACAAATTAATACAGGTTCAGCAATTCAGGATGTGGAGTGTGCAGCTACAACTAATACAGGTTCAGCAATTCAGGATGTGGAGTGTGAAGCGACAACTAATACAGGCTCAGCAATTCAGGATGTGGAGTGTGCAGCTACAACTAATACAGGTTCATCAATTCAGGATGTGGAGTGTGCAGCTACAACTAATACAGGTTCATCAATTCAGGATGTGGAGTGTGCAGCTACAACTAATACAGGTTCATCAATTCAGGGTGTGGAGTGTGCAGCTACAACTAATACAGGTTCATCAATTCAGGATGTGGAGTGTGCAGCTACAACTAATACAGGTTCAGCAATTCAGGATGTGGAGTGTGCAGCTACAACTAATACAGGTTCATCAATTCAGGATGTGGAGTGTGAAGCGACAACTAATACAGGTTCATCAATTCAGGATGTGGAGTGTGCAGCTACAACTAATACAGGTTCATCAATTCAGGATGTGGAGTGTGCAGCTACAACTAATACAGGTTCAGCAATTCAGGATGTGGAGTGTGAAGCTACAACTAATACAGTTTCAGCAGTTAATTAATACAGTATCAGGTTCCTATTTTTCAACAAATATTTGAGCCATCTGTCAGCCACAAGATAAATTAATCGAAATTTTGCACAACTGTTAACTTGAAATATACCAAATTATTCATTTCTATTACTTAAAGCCGTGAAATGTCTGCAATTTCATTAGCTAATTCTCAAATATTTCATTTTTAATCTTCTACTTATAACCACAACTTGCCACAGTTTATTCTTGCAACTCCTACATGTACCCACAGACTGTTACAGTGTATTTTTGCGACTTCTACTTGTAACCACAACTTGCCACAGTTTATTCTTGCAACTCCTACATGTACCCACAGACTGCCACAGTTTATTCTTGCAACTCCTACATGTACCCACAGACTGCCACAGTTTATTCTTGCAACTCCTACATGTACCCACAGACTGCCATAGTGTATTTTTGCGACTTCTAAGTGTAACCACAACTTGCCACAGTTTATTCCTTGCAACTCCTACATGTACCCACAAACTGCCACAGTGTATTTTTGCGACTCCTACGTGTAACCACAACTTGCCACAGTTTATCCTTGCAACTCCTACATGTAACCACAGCCTACCACAGTTTGTTCTTACAACCTTGATCTACATCACAGCGTTAGCCACACGTCATCACTGCTATGTCATTCACAAGTAAACAGTATTAAACCAACTTACCCAAGTCAGGCGTTGGCGTAAATCTAAAACAGAAAATGTTTATTTTGTATGATAGTTAATGACGCTTGCCAAAATAAATTAACTCTATAGGGGCTGTGAGGAGATGACCATGCTGAGCGCTCGTATAGTTCCTATTCTGGTTGTAGGGAAGATTGGAGACACATGACTAGCTATCGAACATATTATACATACAGTAACACTCACTATCGAGAGATCTAAGAGTCTTACATTGAAATTTTATTGAAGTATGCCAGCCGTTCTCAAACTAAGGAATAGTTGGAATAAAGGATGCATAACTGATTATTCATAAATAGAGAGAACTAAAATGAACAACTTGAACAGACTAGCACGTTGTGTTGTATTTTATTGTACGCCATGATTAACACTATGTCACGCTTTCGGATAAGAAGTCAATTTTATCGCAACTCAGACTGTCGAGGCTTCTAACGATTTGAATACGGGGACTAATAGGATTTATGTACTTATTCAGTTATATCAAACAGAGATATAAACAGACAAACCAAGTCACCAACAGAAAAACAGACCGATCAGACAAACTATTCAAAGAATAGGTAGAACCGATGGAACAGAGTGCACAAAACGTGCAATTAATGTATATCTCGAAAAGGAAAACAACAACAACAAAACAAAAAGGTCAACGATTGGTCAGATATGTAAGTAGTTCATTGCACTAATTGTAATCGTAAAGTTACAGTCAAAGCTATTCCTACGTCTCTAAAGTCTGATATGAAGAAATTCCTATTATTTCTGACCCTTCACTTCGTGGAAGAGCATCCAAAAATAGAACTGCCATGAGATTCGTGGCCATCAACGGTTACATAAAAAAAAATAGTGATACGATTGTGACCCGACATTTCTCAAATGGAAAGAGACCTCCCTCTGTTGATCATTTTATAAGATATTTCGTTATATATAGAACGACAAAAATTTAAGCAGTACATTTCCTTTATATTTTCCTAGCCGTCCAGACGCTTGTTCGGAAAGTTAGCAGATCTCTTAACATATCAGTAAACAATCAATTCCAAGAAAGGGCCATATTTACTAAAGTCTTAACAAAAGTAGTACTCTGTGTAACGCAATATAAACCAAAAATCATAGCTCTTACCATCAGTACGAAAAAAAAAAACAGGTTTAGGTTTCGCTTTAAAGACAACACTAGATATCTTCGTCAGTGTCAGCTAAGTATATGTTTACTAAGATTTAGGTTTGACTGTAAAGATGAAATTAGATCTACTCATCAGTGTCAGCTACTTGTATATGTACTAAAATTTAGGTTTCGCTATAAAGTCGACACTAAACCTCTTTTGGTTTCTCTGTAAAGATGACACTAGATTTCATCACTAACATCAGTTATGTTTTTATCTACTATGATTTTGGTTTCGCGGTAAAGACGACCCTAGACCTTTTTAATTTTCGCTGTGAAGACGACACGAGAAAAAGGTACACGTTGTAGTTTGTATTAGTGACTAAAAAAACCCAGTCGAAAACAGTCAGATTAGTTTGTGAAGAATATCATCGTTGTTATAATAACAACGACTGAATAACACAGAAAAACTTTTTGCTGATTTAAAATCCAGAAACTAAAACAAAAAAGAAATATAAATAATTTTAAATTTCGCAAATAATTTCCAATTCAACGTTTTTAAAAATAAGGATTAAAGTTTAAGCAATGATCATTTGCGTTGAATAAAATAATTTTCGATATTTTCATATTTTTCATACTATACAATCAAGTTAGTCAACACAGCATGTATTTTAAACACTGGCATGTTTAATGTTTAGAGACTGGAGTTCCAGTGAGAGAAACAGGCCGGGTGTTTTAAAATACTTGGTTTGGGCTCAAGTACACAGTCATCAGAGTGGTGGTTATGTGTATGTTTCTGTTTAGTTGCTTAATTTTATCTTTCTTAAATAGTTCATTTCGCTTAAGGAAAGCATGGAAACAATGATCACGAGCCAGCATTTGTCTAACATAACTAAACAACTACTCTCCACGTCAGAAATAATTTTTACAAACCGATCCTATCTTCACTGACTTGTCACGCCGGAAGATGGCGGGAACGCAGGACATCTGGCGACGTACAAACCGCAGAAGGCCTGCGGAAACGAGAACTCCGAGCGGTACATCAACCACATCGCAAGTGTTTTTTGAACTGTCGCGTGCTGCGCGTGACGGACTTGAGAAACAGCTGGAGCGCTGGAACTCCGAGCTCGTGCATTCATTAAAACTCCATAAAATATGCAGACTTGTAGAATAATAAGTATATTGTTGTACATTTCTAACGTTACACATGGTAAATTTCAAACTTGTGTTTTCGCTTTGCTTTTTAAAGCTAAAGCTAAACTACAGTAGTATCGATCACCGTTAATCACACAACACTGTATTTGTTTGTTTTTTAAGCGCCACCTGTACAGACAGAATGACTCAATAGCACCGACAAGTGTAGCCTATAGTGACCTGTACTAAAATAAAATTTACCGAAGAGTAATCGTACTTTATTAGAACAAATTTGCATATGTTAATAAAGCGGCAACCTGTGGAGCCACGTGCGACATATTTAAGAACACAGTAACAGCGATGGAGAGATTTGTGGTTTAATAATTATCTCACAGCACTTTCCCAAAGAAAAATATGTGGATAGTGAAATTACAAAGAGATGCAAAACCCGTGATATACCACCTTCGAAGGCGACTCTCTGTAACATGGAGAAGATGAACACGCTCGCACGAGAGTGTAGAACCATTTAAACATCACCCTTCTTCGCGCAGGAATGCCACTACCACTGCCACTGTTAGAAGACTGCCTCACCAGGCAAGCTGAAGGGAAGATTTTTAAAGATGGTACCGATCACGTGTAAAGAACGTTTCTCATGGAATGGGAAAAGTATACTTCACAAAACACACAGAAAAGCAAGGATGACCTCTGTTAACTCTCAGCCGAATATACTAACCCCAATTATGCTAGATGAAATTCTTGC